ACGTGAGAACATAACAATATCATACCCCTTGTTTCACGAGGGTGAAACAGAGTTGAATGTATTAAAACACTGGACTACCACAGAGTCTAGTGTAAGAAATAATTGTCAGTAGAGTACATGAGATTTAAATAAAAGTTGTAAAATCTCAATAATTCTTTGACTAACCCGGGATCGCGAATCCAACAGTAAATGTAAAATAAAAATAAAATATAGGCAGTTTCAAACACTTACCAAATTATAAACAACGCTGTTACAATAATACATTGGCACGTATTGCGGGTGTGAATCACCAGGATACATTTTTGAAAAAGTCCGCACAAACACACATTAACTCACAAGAACTCACGATACTACAGGGTAAGTAACGGGTACAAGTCAAGTAGCAAGTAACGATCGGCACGGGATGTATACCGAAACTGAATGTACTATTTCAGGGATGATCAGGCGCACCTGAGACAATTGGGACTGTTAGGGGTGGGGGTCCAATAAGGACGTCATAGAAAGTGGGCGGAGCTTAACCCTTATTGCAAAATTTCACAAAGTTCTTATCTTTTCCATTGTTTAAGTGTCTTGTCTCGTAAATGACTTTCTCTAAGAATTATTAAACAATGAATGTAACTCGTATATGGGGGCAGTAAGTATATTATTGTGTGTGCATGTGGTATTATTTTGTAAAATAGTGGACCACCTAGGTATTGATTCAGCATTGGTTTCTTTATAAAAAAGCAACTAAACACTAGGTGGTGATGGCAAATGTGGGGTCTACCCTAATCAATTCCTATGTAGGTATATACTGCGATATCAAAGCATACATATATAACGTTAGTAACAGAGCTACCACTGGTCTGATGAACTCTATCCAGATAACCTTTCAATTTTAATACACCAGTTACAATACGTCCAGTTAATTATTATTGTGGGACAAAATTGTGTATGTGGTATTATTTTGCAAAATAGTAATTAAATAATGGACGTATAATTGGCCTACACCGATTATATGAAGGAGGTGTAACGATGTATTCTTGGAGTTATCCAATAGTTCACCAGAAAAAACCGTAATTTTTATTTAAAATCAAGGGTAAGGTTCAAAAATTGAAAGACTATCTAGACAGAGTTCATCAGCTAAATGATAGCTCTATTATTTTTTTAAATTTTTTTAATAGCTACTGTCGCGCGGTTGCACCCGCTG